GGGCGATTCTTGGCTCCGAATTCCGACGCGTTTCTCTTTGGTCAAAGAGAATCCTCCGCTCCTCGCAATAATTCTCTATCGCTTTTTCCATGTATTTGGAGTATCGCATATAAATCAGTCGCCTCGGGTTATATATAACCGGCATACTTATCTTTAATAGGGCAACAATGTTCTTGATAATTCGATATTGAATATACTACACACATATATTCGATATCGAATATACTCCGCGGAATATAGTATATTACATAGTATACTACAAGATACTAATCGATATACTGTCCGGAGGTATTTATAACATTTCTGTCTCTCATATTGCTCGTATCATCAAGGGAAAGGAATTCTGCGAACGCAGATCAATATAACTGACTATTTCCAAGAAGAAAGAAATGGTAGAGAAAAAAAAACCCTCGCAAGAATGTACTCAGCAAACACCAAGTAACAGTCATATAATTATTAGTTATAATTTCGCACTCAGCAATATAATTGTTATTTAATACATGACAGTTATGTAACCGTTGCTTGGTGTTTGCTGGGTAGCAGCTCAAAAATTAATGTCATTTAAAACATTTACAAATAGAACTGGGTTACTTTTTCACGATGCAAATATCGATTTCGAACACAAATTAATAATTATACTTGAGCTTCCATCATGCGTCAAAATGAAATAAAAATTAACATCCCTTATAAATTCGTTTAAAAAATTTTATAAATTGCAGCAACAGTAGAGTATGTTCATATCTCGATAATAATAATAAATGTCTTGCTACGACGTCATACGTTGCTTTTTCTTCTTGAAAATCGAGCCCGCTCGTTTGCGGCATCGCGAACGTTTCAGAAGGGTTGTTAGCGAATGATTTCGCGTTTAAGAGGAATTTTGCGCGCGAGGAATTCGTGTGTGTTTCGTTACCATGTATACGATGTGCCTCTTAGCATCGGAAGCTAACGAGTTATGTATGATATTAATTGGATTTCCGGGACGAAATCTCTATACGCAGAATTTCTATCTCAGAATTTCAATCCGTTACAAACATATACATACCACGTATTATGATTAAACGTTGAATATTTAGAGCTGCACCTGATACGTTTCACATAAATGGCATTAGATCCTGCATATACATTTTATTATTTGTATGTAAAAATATTCTTTTGTTTATAAGATCAATCAATTATTTATTTATTCACTTATTATTAAAATATTAGAATATAAAATAATTATTAAATATATAATTAAATTATTAAAATATAAGAGGGAAATATTCCAGCTGCATTTTTCGAATAGGAAGTGAACGAGATAATTTAGCGGAGGAAGATTCAATTGTTTTAAGCGAAATGGTCCCTCAAAATTGCCACGATAAGCGATGGTTATTGAGATGAAAAACACCCCTTTTTTGATAAGAATCTGCTCATCGAATTTGGGAGGTTTCACGTAACAGTCAATAAAGAGCTCGCGCATGACGGTAATCCGGAATATGCGATGGCGAACCAACGGTTGTGTAAAAATTCATGAACGTCCATCGGACTCGTTCGAACGCGCCATGCGAATAAAGGAGAATCGATCGTCTAATCAAACTAAAAGATTCAACGTTACGTTCGTGGCGATCTTCCACTCTTCCTTACCCTTATTCGCGCTTGGATTACTTTAAGTCATACATACAGAGTGTTGAAAAGCAATAGGTTGAAATTAATTTTCTCTTTTACAGAGAAAAATCGAGTTGAAAGATTAAAAAAGTTTTGATGAAAATTTGATAATGCATAAAAAGAGAATATTCTGATAAATAATGCACCATGTTTGTTACCCGAATTCGTCCTGAAATGATAAAATCAAGTATCGTTTCGAATTAAAAAGATTAAAATGCGATATTTACAGAATGTTTCTTAATAAGTGCGAAAAATTTTAGATGATTTTTTGTCAAAAATTAAGGGCGATTTTTCATATAAGCATACATTCCTTCCTGTGGAGTTATACTTCTCTAAAAATGGGGATAAAAATTAGGTTTTTATTGTTTTCTTATTCAGAACAAGTTAAAGCAATGAAATTAGGTGGATATTTTCTATTAGTAAAACGGTTATTCATTAATATTTTTTTCGGCCTCCCGTATTGTTATAAGGGGATGAAACTAGCAACCCCTATTCAATTTTTTATTAGAACTTTTTAATGGGCTGGAACATGATCATCTAAAAATATGCATTAAAAAGTTTGATTTATTTAGAAATTTTTTTATTTCTTTTATTTTTTTCATAAAATCAATAGTTTTCAAGAAAAAAAATAAAGTACATTATCGTGCACAGCATGATACTAAATAGCATATGTTTTGAATTACGAGAAGTTATATTTTAAAATAAAAATAAAATTAGAATAAATGTTGAAAATTGGAACAAGAACAAAATTACAATAAAAACCTAACTTTTACTCTCTTTTTTGGAAGAGTGTAATTCCAGAGGAAGGGATGTAGATGTATATGTTTATATATGAAAAATCCCCCTTAATTTTCGACAAAGAATCATTTAAAATTTCTCGCAATTTTTAAGAAACATCCTATACAGGGCGAGTCGTTTGAAATTATCAGCTTGATTTATATCATTATTATTGTCTGTAGAGAAAAATGGTTCAGAACTAATTTATCATTTTCCCTCGGAGACATTTAGTATCTGTTAGACATTTATCTGCGTTGCAGTCTAGTCCACGTTGTCGTTCAAATAACACTGGACATATAAAACGATATAAGACAATCATTAATGCATCAATTGCGATGTGACGAGAAATAATCGTCACAACGAATTCTTTCTGTAAATAGAGCTAACGTTGGTAAAAGAGTGATAGTTTTCTCTTCTTGTTATTTTGTTTTTCCTGCAAACAAAACCCGACTATCTAACAACCTGTAATGGTATATTCAGAAAAATATATATTGAAATAAATTCTGTAGAAGTGCTCAATCGAATATAAATCGAAATGTAAACTGTATAGAAAGACTGGGAACAGAGTCGAAACAACGGATGTAAAAGCGTACGAGTATATATTGAATTAAAAAATTATAAAAAATGCTATGTAAAACCAAATGTTTTGATTTCCGCTTTGGAATTTTCCTCAGTGAAACACAATGCGAAATTATTAAATCGTTATAAAATTACAAATATTGCAGAGTCACCGTGAGAGTCAGTAAAATTAAATGGATGAAAGATATCGAGTGAACATGTTTGTCTTTATAATAAAAATCGGAACAATAATTTAAATGATAAAAAATTTTAATGATAAAAAAATTTAAACAACAATGTTTAATGATAAAAAAATTTAAACAAAAATTTTAATGATAAAAAAATTTAAACAACAATTTTTAATAATTAGAAAATGTCAAAATAATATAAATAAAAATTAACATATTTCTAATGATGTGCATAACTTGACATAAATATATATATTTATAATTATATATTTTAAATATATTTTATATACATTATATATTTTTTACATATTTTTTATATTTATATATTTTTATATATCTTATATTTATATATTTTTATATTTATATATTTTATATATTTTTATATTTTTATATTTATATATTTTATATATTTTTTTATATTTTTATATATTTTATACATTTATATATATATTTTATATATTTTATTTTTATATTTTATATACATATATGTTGTTAATCGAATGAATATATTTTGATTATAAAAATTGCTAATATATTTTCATAATTTTGTTAATTCTTAACTTAATAACACGCAACTGTTCTAGCAGCTATTTGCATGTGTCGTATCTAAAAGTGTGCGAAGGACGCATAAAAGTGGCCGGGCGAATTTCTCGCTCATTGGTAGAATGTTATCCCACACATTTCCATGTTCCGTAATCGAACGAGTCGCGCACGATACACAGTGTAAGGTCCGTATCCTTTTCAAAGGATTCGCGAATATTAAACGAGCTGCCGCGAACCGTGAATCAAAGCGGATTCCTTTGAGGACTTCCGCGCAGGATTCGGCGCGCTTCAGGGAGTTTTGCGTCTCTTACGATGGAACAGCAAAACAAGCGCAACGCTGGAATCAGCGAAATATACACACACACACACACACACACACACACACACATACAAACACATATGCGTAAGCAAATAAACTGTATGAGATCCTCTGGCCCCAGCAAGCCGAGAATATTCCTTTGGCCGTTCATGAGAACGCATCAGCAAATCCCAAATTCTAAAATAAGTTTACCAAGTTCCACGAACAAGTCAATGGAATAATTCATGAATGATAAAAGAAGGAAAAATAATTAGATATCCAATTTACATGCATGTATATGAATTAGGGTTGTTTGGAAATTTGGAATTAAATCAGGACATCTTTTATACGAATAATTTGTGATAAATTTCGGAGGAAACTTTTGAAGAAAAAATCCGTTCTTTCTCAAAAATTTCTGCAGCTATAAAATACAATTTGGTAACGCCGAGCCAGTTCCATGCCCTGTTGCATTGTAACAAGATCAATTGTGGAGCTGCAGCTGCATCCAGAGCCATCGGAAATAGATTACTGTGCAAAATTCGAGACTCTTCGTCGGATTACTTGCGATATTCAGCTTGTCACTGATGCATCATTTCACTCGAATTTCAATCCTTTTATTCACTACATATTTATAAAAAAGGATGGGTGTACATGCCTAATTATATGCATATTAAATATACATATAATAATAAACGCATTATATTTTTTCTAAAAAATATATATATATTTTTTATTCATAGTTATGAATATTTAATTAATAAGTGTATTATACCTTTGCCAAAATGTATAGTTAAAGAGTAAGATTTATAAGAATATCATTTATTATTTATCGCTTAATATGTCAATCTTTGTTTCCTGAGATGAGAGCTTTCCTCTCTCTCTTTTCCTCCATTCCTTCCCTCGGAGGAAATGTCCCGGATAAATAAAAATGGAAATTCTTTGACTCCGCATACATACATAGTACATGTGAAACCGGACGATGGCTGTTGCAGGAATGAAGCCGAAGATGAAAAATCACTACAGGGCGCATCAGCTGTCGGTCTGGCTGCGCCTCGTCCCGGAGCTTCATCGTGCCGGGATGGAGGATGTCGATTCCAGACATAACTTGTTCCGCGGCCACAGCGATCCCAGCCTGTACGACGGCTCCGTGAGACCGGATCCTCTCAGCAGGATCAGCGAGGAATTCAAGAGGAAGAACCTCAGCACGGATCCGCCGACCACGACGGATTACAGCATCACGACGTGCGTCAGCCTCATCCCGGGCACCAATCTCCAGAACGTTCATAACGCCAGCACCGACACCTTGGCCAGCCTGGACGCAGCTGGGTAATTATCCTTCTTGAACATAATCAAGTTTGCTCCAAGTTTACACGTAGCAGTTTCGGCTGTATAAGCGTCTGTTCGGAGGTCTGTATTAATTTAATGGAATTTTACTCATGAGAAATTGGCACGAGAGATGAGACGGTTCAAGGTTCGATCGGGGAAATTTCATAAAAGTTGCAACCGTCTCGATAGTTCCTGAAAAGACTCGTTACCGACGTCACTTTGACAGAAAAAAATGTAATTTCACTTTAAAATTCAAGTTTAATTACATCGCAAATTTTATCTTCCTAAGAGAAAGAAATGGGAGAGAATTTTATTCAATGATAGTGAGAGATATATCGATTGAAAAATTCCTTATCTATTTAGCTACGCGGCGTATTCGACGGCTCTGAGCGTGACAATCGCGATCGGCTGCAGCCTGCTGATCCTGAACGTCCTGATATTTGCGGGCGTCTATTATCAGAGAGACAAAACGCGGCTCGAGGTGAAGAGCCTTCAGCAGCAACAAATGTTGAATCAACAATGCGGTCCCCGCGGTTTCACCGAGCTAAAACAACCGCCGCCCCCGCATTCCCATTACGCCGGTGGGGGCCAAGTGATTGTTGACGTTGAGAATGAAATGTTAAGAAGGTACCGAATCATTATTCATATTTATTCGCACTGAGAAAAAAATCTGATTGCATTAATTAGAATTCATGGTACACATTAATTAGCATTCTGGTAGATTCAACCGGTATGTCTGTTGGAAAATGGACGAATCAGAATTCTTGTAGGAATTATCAGATGAATCTGATTAATTTCTTCCTGTTCAATTTACTAAATTTTCTGGTTAATAATACTAAACTCGCCAGCACCAAGTCGTCTAAAATTTTTGCCATCTAATCTCAAAAGTATGTTTAATATTCTGAATTCCAACACGATTATTGGATAAATTCAATTCAAATTAATTTCTTCACAGTAAAAAATTTGGTGTTAAATTTAACATATTTCACATGTCCCAATTTATCCACTCTAATTTTAATGTTAATTTAACAGAAGACAAGTATGTAAATAAATAACACAAGTAATATGTTTAAAAATTAACACAAAAGTGTAACACTTAAACTTTATCTGGAAATAAAGTTTATGTTAAATTAGCATATTTATAATGTTAAATTTAATTAAAAGAAAATGGTATTCTTACATTTTTATGATAAATAATAGAAGAGGTATGTCGATTTAACATGTGGAAACTGTTATAGAGAGAAAAATAACACAACTTATCTGTTTCATTTTAACATATAACATATTTCACCAAAAATTCGTGCGTTTACATATTAATTGTGTTGTTTTAATTCTTAGAAACGGTGAATATTAACTCAATGCAAAAATGTCAAAATAACGCAATGATAATATGTTATATTAACATAAGAGTATGTTAAAAATTTAACACAAAAATTTTTACACGAGAAAATTTTAACAGAAATACAAAATGTTTTTTACCGTGTTCCTGTTAAATTTACCAAATTTTCTAGTTAATAATATTAAACTCGCCAGCACCAAGTCGTCTAAAATGTTTTCCATCGTCTCAAAAGTCTGTTTAATATTCTGAATTCCGACAAGATTATTGGATAAATTCAATCCAGATTATTGAATAAATTATTTTAAATTCAGTTTGTTAGAAATTAAACTGATAAACAGTGATGCAAGAAGAGGATGCAGCTCAAACACACACAATCAGAGAGCTAGCGTCTTCTTTCTGGCATTACTGCTCATAAAAGAAAAAAAATATACTTTGGATTGAATGTTAATACTAGTTCTTTATATACATTTTATTGCAAATATTGAATACGAGTTAAGAGGGGCAAGCAGAGAAATTAATGTAACAAGAAATTTTATAGATCCGACCAGAAAATACTAACCAAATCCTTATAATAAAATCTATTAAACGTTCTAGTTATAAAAAATCGAGTCTTATCATGATGAACTAGAAATTCTTATTTGATTTAACCAAAATGCCTTCAATCATATACGTCTTATTGGTGCAATCAAACGATTTTTCTCAGTGCGCTATATATTTATACACATCAAACTGTCGGTCAACTGTCATCGAACTCACTAACATTCACATCATCGACCACATGACTTTTATCTAATCTATAGATAGATATATATTTCTAATATTGCAGGAATGTAATGAAAGGACCTCCTAATGATCCTGGCGCTCCTTTCCAAGGGCAAGGAACTCACACACTGCCTCATCAACATCATTATCAGAAACATCAGCAGCAACATGCCACTCTTCCCCGAGCATCAGTTATTCAAGACATGAACACGCAAACTCAAGTAAGTTTTAAATTTTTAAATTTTTGTCCTGCAATAAAGAAAATATATATAATTATTGTATAATAATAATATTATATAATTATTATATAAAAATAATGTTGTATAATTATTATAAATTATATAATAATAATTATAATATATAATAATAATAATATTAATATACAAGGTGTCCCAGACCATCCGTACACCCCTTTTAAAATAAAAATAAATGGCTTTTATCAAAAATCGCGAACAATTTTTAAGTAAATCGAGTATATTCTATCAAATGGTGATATTTTCAATTTTTGATTCCGGTCGGAAACACGCCATCCGGATAGGAAGTTGAATTTTTTTAGGGGAACATGATACTTTTTATTACAGATTCGAATTGTACGTGAAAAAATAAGAAACTTTTGTATCAAACATTTTTTCTAAAAGTGCCTCTGTCAATTTTAAAATTGACCTTGAAAGTAACTGTGATGAAATAATGAACTTCAAATGTTAAGATTGACAGAGGCACTTTCAGAAAAAACGTTTGATACAAAAGTTTCTTATTTTTTCACGTACAATTCGAATCTGTAATAAAAAGTATCATGTTCCCCTGAAAAAAATTCAACTACCGATCCGGATGGCGTATTTCCGATCGGAATCAAAAGTTAGGAAGGAATAGTTAGGAATAAAAATATCACCATTTGATACAGCGTACCCGATTTACTTAAAACCTAATTGTTCGCGATTTTTGATAAAAGTCATTTATTTTCATTTTAAAAGGGATGTACGGGTCTGGGACACCCTGTATATATAATTATTAATATTATTAGAATTATATTATAATTATTTTTTCATATTTCCTTTGTTACATTAAAAATCGCAAATAAGTAATAAAGTAAAGGGTGCGATTAAATTTTCGAAAAATGCTATCTGTTGCTTTAAATCTTTTTCTTCTTCCATCTTTACGTCATAAATATTGATTATATGCACGAAAAATGCGTAATATACGTGAGAAAACAATAAATCTCATCTTTCTTTAATAAAAATTTTCGACGTACACGTAATATTGTTTCTCTAATAAAGTTCATTGCAAAGTCTTTCAAACTTTCCCCAGCTCAGAGATTTAATACCTGAGTAAGGCACAAGGTAATCGAAATTATGATCGTAAAGTGTGGGCCGCGCCGCTCTTCCGCTTCGCGTATATTATATCTGACCGCTTTGGATCTCCCGGAAAGTTTCCTTAACGGAATTATGCGAATTGAAATTCTGTGCGAAAGAGATCAAACTTCCTCTTCACCTGAAAAAAGGGAAGCGCTGTCGGTTGTAAATATTTCATACGCAAGTCAAAGATATTTTTCATTTTGCATACTTTTCCGTGGTTTTATCGAAGAATCTGCTTAAGAAGAAAAGAAAAAAAAAAGAATCACCGAGAGATAACGATTCTCCCTCTATCGTGCGTTTCTTTTCCAGGGCCCTCCGAACGGATCCATACACTTGACGGTTCCTCGGGCTCCGCCGCCACCCAGGGCGAAGAGCCCGCCGGAGAACCAACCCCTTTTGCAGAGCGCGACCGTCTCGAGTCGCGTGTCGCAGGCGACGATGAGCGAGATGCGAGTGTGATGCTTGGACCCCCCTCCGAAGCCAGTCGTCCCAGATGTTCTCACGGCGTCGACCTTACTCTAGGCAGATTCGCCGCGAACCTGTCGGCTGGTGGCCCTAAAGTAGCCGCCAACTCTTCGATGGGTCGACGCAGGATATCCCGGGGAACGTGAGCTGCGGACGAACGGAGGGGGGTGCTGGGGGGAGAGATTCCTCACCGCTGGAGGGGGGGGTGGTCGAGCCAAGATTTGCGTCTACCGAGCACGAGAAAGGGAGAGAGAGAGAGAGAGAGAGAGAATGCTTACGAAATCTAGAAGTGCGAAAGGGTGGAAATTAAATACGTAGACTTTTAATCTGTCTTGCAACTCTTATAAAATCTCTTATCGGATTAGAAAATACATACGTATAAAATATACCCCGTATAACGCGGGGGGGGGGGGGTACGATTCTCCGACTCTCGTGGGCTGTACAAAGTTTGAAGGTACGTCGTTTGTCGAGAGGGAGGGAGGAAATTTTTCACGAAATTTGTACATTATCCGCCGCGTTATATCGGGGGATGATTTACCGCGTTATACGAGGGCTGTTACAATTTTTTCTCCTTTTTTTTTATCGCGTTATAGAAGCACCTATTGCCTCTTCATTCGCGCGACACGAGGGTTCGCTGTATAAAACTTAGAGGGTGCATTTCTACAGGACAAATAGATTCTTAAAAATTCGAATTTACTAAAATTATAATTTTACACAATCAAAGTAATTAATAAGAGAGAATATGCAGTTTACGGGAAATGTCTGGAAGAGCTAACGAAGGGGAAGGCTCCCAGACAGCACGAAAAGGCCAAAAGATGTCTTAAAGATGTCTAGAGGACTTTAAGACGTCTTTAAGTCATCTTTTAGACGTCTTTAAGTCATCTTTTAGATGTCTTTTGGACATGTGTGCTGTCCGGGCTTCAATCTTAATAATCATTTATGGAACTGCGATAAACGAGGAGAGGTTAGGTTATGTAAGGATACGGCGCCTCGCTTGAGATTCCGTGATGGCCGGTAGACATCGATGAACACTTACGAGCTGGAACATCAAGAATAGAGGGTCGTCTTGGATGAATCGAGGCTTTAATCAAATTTTGCGCGAAGGAATCAAACGATGCGATGCATTTCGCTTATTAGTCGATAATGAAATGAATCTCTAGTCGTTAAAGGAGGGGAAAAGCGTAACGGATGGCTCAATATGTGAATCTCGACGGCGATGAAGACACATGTAAAAAAAGACATACTAGCCACATTACGATGTTAGATGTTCCTTGTACATAACGTGAATTTATATATAATATATAAGGACGCGCCAAAGAGTTTGCTACTTTGTAAGAAGACTTGTATCCGCGTATCGTTTATTAATCCCATATTCCTTTTTCCTCCTTGGTTCATGTGTCGATATCCACGCGTGACGTCATATGAATAAGAGAATGAATGTAGAAGGGTGGTATTTCCTGAAATCTTAATGAGCGAGCTTGCTTATCGACGAGATGCTGAATTTTCGAAACTTTCGGAATCTTCAGCCTTTGTGTGATTTTTTTACTATTTTCTTATCAAGTTTGATTGATATTAAAATTGTCCTCGTCCGTTCGCGTCTCAAGTAGCTCCTCAAATTGCTCTCAGCCATAGGAATCGAGATTAACTGATTAATGCGCGAAAGAAGAGACCGATGTCGACAAGCAACATCTCGCTCATTATCGTTGCCCTAATTAATGTTACTTGCCGCGCAAGTAGCCCCATCGCGAACGTATGTATTGCACATATGAATTACGATACACGATGCGCACATAGAATGATCTTCGTACCCTCTCCATGTACGCGTATCCACGCATATGTGTTTTATATATATACATATACATATATAAGAGGTGACCGAGCGCAGTTTTAAGCCATCGTCATAAATCTATCCCTCTATCGTTTCCTTATTATATGGTTTCGACATATCTTTTTATACTTAAATACGCACCAAATTCGAACTGCTTTGAAATTCGTAAAATTTTACAAAACCGATTATTACACGTATGCAGGTATACTACTCGCGAAAAAAAAAAAATCTCCGAAGCTATCCGTGGAATCGTGGGGTGTCGATTCTTCAAAGTTCAAATTCCATCGGACACCCACACGTGATATGAGATTGTCTCTCTCTTTTCTTTTTTGTATAAATATATACATATATATAGGTGTAAAATAAAGACTAACGTAAATCTGTTAAGCGTAATACACTGCCACAAGACTACCGAAGTTATAAGGAGCTCACGAGCTGCAGTTCTTCTCATCTTTTATAAAACAATCGCCCGAAATGATTTTGCGGAAGCGAATTAACGGATTGATTAAGGAGATGGAGTCTTGTTTTATCGATAAAATGTCATGTATCATTTTTTTCCGAAATCATTTTATTAATTGCACAGAATAATAAATGCTTCTCCACGATTAAAGTATGTGCATACAGAAACAAAGCGGGAACCTCCTGATTTTATGTTAAAAATTAAGAAAAAATTAAAAAATTATAGTTTTTTATCGGCTTCTGGGATCAAATCGTAACAATATTTGCTTTGTATTGTAAATTGTATGAAGAAATATAAATGAACTTTTAGAAATGAGTTTATTTAAATTCCTTCATACAATCTCTAGCGGAAACTCATCTTATTTTGTGCATACAAACTGCAAAACTTTTATATTAATCAAATATTGTTATGATTTTTACGATTTTTCAATCTTTTTTTTAATTTTTTATATAAAATCAGAAGGTTCCCGCTTTGTTTCTGTATGTACTTTAATTGTGGAGAAACATTTATTATTTTGTGCAACTAATAAAAAGATTTCAGACAAAAATGAAATATAACATTTTATTGGTAAAACAAGACTTTGGCATTCTCTTAAAATGCATTATGTAATTGTCGAAAATAATATTGTTCGAAAAGTTGATTCTACCGATTGGACAACATCTTTTCTTTCATTATCTCACGAACCTTTTTGCACGAAATTAGTAAGTTTTCGAAAAATCGACAAGTCGAGTATCATCAAGATCCTTTTCGAAAGGAACGACTTATCGATAGATCGATAAAGGAAAGGAAGTCGAATTTTTTGTACATACATATGCAATATCTCTTTGCTAAACGCGACACGAAAAGGGCGCATCTTGCTTGCTTTCCGCGCAAAAAAACGCCGATCGCGGCCACAAAGTGGCTTAAGTTAACTCCTTGAATCCTTGGATCCTCGTAATTAAAGGATTCTTACCGTCCTAGAGGGATCTTGTACTTTTGTAATTAAACAAATCGTAGCTCGTACAGCTGAAAAATCTCAAATTGGCGGCAGAAACTCCTGCTTATAAAGTGAGGATGAGGAAAGGATGTAAAAAAAAAAAAAATAAAATACGCAGACGTAACATACGGCGAACCGATCCAGATGCGTCCAAGATATGAAATTTGGAAATATGGAAATTCGGTGAAAAAAAGAGACAAAGAAAAAGATGAAAAAGCGACGAAGCACGACGTCGTCTCGCCGCAAAATTTTTAGCAAGATTCACAAACGTAAGCTAAATACGCGTGGGCGTTGTATGATATCATCATCAAGTACGGGACAATCCGAATATAATTAAAGATTAAGAGGCAAAGTTTGTAATAGTGATAAAAGAGGCGAGGAGAGAAAAAGAGAGAGGAGAGAAGAGAGAGAAAGAGAGAAGAGAGAGAAAGAGAGAGAGAAAACGAGAAGAAAAATATGCTGGAGAGAGTTAAGAAAAGATGTTTAAGAAATTTAAATATAACATATTATAAATATATATATATATATTATACACACATATTACACAATTGTAATAAATTATTATGACGGATATTATTATATTTATGTGAGACCTTTAGCTGGCCTCGCGCTCTCCTAGAACGATACCTCGATTATACTTTCCGGCCGAGGGCGAGGCTACCTGTTATGTTTAACGTTTTTGTTGTCAAATTGTAAATATATAACGATATACATGGAAACTTTGATTTGTGTGTTTCTGATCCTCTTTATTAGCTACTTAGCATGTCTATAATATTTCTTAATCTCTGATCCACTTTATTAGCATGTCTATAATATTTCTTAATCTCTGAATATTATCTTAAGAGGAATAAGAATGAAGAGCTTAAAATTAAGAATATTTTTTTTAGATTCTTTTTTTTAAGTTTTTTTCAATCTTCAAATTTTTATCCAGCTTATGCGATTCTTCTCAAAATTTCTAAATTTCTAAAACATTTTGGATATATAGTTTCTTTAATTATAAATTCTCTAAAAAATTATAAATCTAAAAAAATTATATCTCTAACAAATTATATATGTAAAAAATTATAAAAGAAATTATCATTCTTGTTTGATATTTTTATCGTGTCCTGAGAAAGTATCTTGCATTACTAAGGACGTTTCCCTCATACCGACTGTCGATGTGTCCTAACCAGATGGATAATATGTTTCTCGAAATATTCTTTAGGTAAAGACCGCAATAGTTGCCTCACCTTTAGCAGATATACGTTTAAAGTTCTAAATCGGAAGATGGAAAGTTGAAATTCCGAATTATCCATATGCGATATATCAAAAATACTAAAAAATTGAGTAGAAAATATATTTATATTAAAAACATTATAGAAAAAGCAATTTCATATAATTTAACTTAAAATTATACAAAATTGTAAATTAACTATTGCAATTTAACAAGTAATTTAAATTTTATCCTAATCTAATATATAATTCAGTTTATAAAAAACAACAATGTTTATTGTATATTCCAATAATCTATTTAAGAAAGATTTTAAATAATTAAATAATTTGTAGTAATAAATTTGTAGTAAATAATTAAATAATTTGTAATAATTAAATAATTTGTTGTCATAAAATCTTATAATTAATAATTATTATAAATTATTTTCAATTTTCTTGTACATGTATTTTTTTGTTTAATACGAACATTTTTTGTTTAATACGAACATCTATGACATATTCATATATTTTACTCATATATATATATATATATATATATTATTTGAATTATTTATTGTTTTTATTATATATCTATATAATTTATTTAAATATATAAGCATAAAAAAATTTATTACAACAACTTTTTAATAAGTAACATTTTAAAATCATTTTTATTTAATTAAATAAAATCTACGAAAAGATTATGTTTTAAAAAATTATTTTTTAAAATCTTTTAAAAAGTCATTTTTCAACATAATATTTCTTTTATTTTTAAACTTTCAAGTTCTTATTTACATGCTAATTTATTTTATTTTATTTTCGATTGCTCGTTATGAATCATAATTCTTTCACTTAAATGACATCTTAATTTACTAGATTTTTTATATACTTTTATTTGAATAATTTTTATATTATTTATTGCATCAATAATTGAAGCAACAGTAAAAACAGTAAAAAAAAACAGTAAAAACAGTATATATATTATATTAAACTCGCATCAAATGAATAAACTTATTTACATATTATTAACTCTTTGAATATTCGAGCTGTCAAATTACATGATCCTTGCTGACAGATCCTCATTGATGCAAATAATAATTTATGGAGATAATTAATCAGCATCACGAAAAAAGGTAATAATAAACTTCTATTATACGTTTAAGTAATCGTATTTTACATGAAATTTACGTGTTTTTTAAAAGTAGATAATTTTATATATATATTTAAATATAATTTGTTTTGATTAAATATTATTATTATCAAAATGTGAGGCCGGCGCGATTATTGGGGTGAGAATAATTTCATATTCCGGTGTCGCAAAAACAGCTTCTCGCTCTCGCCCAGCTAAAGAGTACGTGTATATATTATAAAATAAATAACAAGCGCGCCCGTCGAGTACGCACGCGAAAATCTTTGTCATTTATTTTAGTACATAAAATAAAATCTTGATGTATGAACATGTGTGAGAATTTATCTCCAGAATTCTATAAACCCTTCGAAATGAAATGTTTCTAAAAAACGAAACGAAAATTTAAAACTTTTTTCTAGAATGCGCTGAAAACTTAACAAGCATTAATTAATTAAGTACAATTATTTAAATAAAAATAATGAAGCGTTATTTTATTGAAGCCAAAGCAATTCGTGCAACTGCGTTAAAATTTTATAGTTTATGATATTAATGATGCAGATGAATTTTTATGCGGTACACGTCTGCGACGCAAAATGCAAATTAATTTGTAACGATATTATCGGACAAAATAGGTAACTTGATATGATATCTGCTCGTTAATATGCAGAAACGTTTGTATTTTAATGAATGCAATCCGCCCATATAACGCTCAGAAAATAATATTTAAAATAATATTTGCTTTATTGGTTATCTTTTTTAATTAAATGTAGTGCAAAAATATTTGATATGTGTGTGCTCACATATTCCAGGCAATAAATCTGCCACATTTTCGTAATTATCTGAAAAAGAATCATCACAATTAATCGTGTAGAGCAAAGTTACTAAGATTTGTATTTATTCAATCTTCTCATCTCTTTACGAAGATGTGAAAAATTCAATGTTTTAGTCAATCTCTTATATTTCTTATTATTTTATTGATAAATCATGGAAGAAAAATTGCTTGACGTTTCAAATTCAAAATTCATGATTCTCTTTAATGGAGAATCTTAATTTATAAATTTTATATATCTAAAATTATATATTATATATTATATATATTTAATATTATATATTATATATTAAAATTATATATTATATATTATATATTATATATTATATAATTATATATTATTTAATAAGATGAGAAAATTATATATTATATATAAAATTTTCTTATCTTATTAAACTTGTATATTCCAGCCTGGAAAATTTTCATCTTCTTTCCGCATAAAAAATTTTTATAAAGGAATCATTGATTCCGATGCGGATTCGCGAATGTCAGAGGAATTTTTCACGAGGATCTCAGTGGAACAGTCGATGATGTGCGCGGACACACGCGTTCGACTTATCCGAGCATCTGTTACATCAATCTTAGCGGATCGCCTTAAACGTCGCTCCCGGGGCGTTCTTTTACGTCACTCGCATTCGTTATCCATTAAGGTAAATATAGAGCATGTGTCGTCCCGTGCCCGCGCTCCGCACGTGAAACCAATATTCATGCGCACGAGCTATTCAACGTGTGTACCCGACCGTAATTGAATTATCATCATGTGTCCCTTTAAGAGATAGTCAGCTCGCTATAACGAGCGCTACGCGTCGCAAGTTGTCACGCGGAATTAACGTCGAGCGGGATTAACAGCGTTAAACCACGTCACGAACGTCTTGCGAATTGTACCTTGTATGGATCTTATTCCTTGTAATAATTCGCGCTTCAATTCTTCTCCTCTCCCTAATATCTTCACTCAAAAATTTTGGGAAAATTTCTAAAACTTTTCTCATCCCTATTTATTCCAGCTTGGAATTTTTTGAATTCGCATCAACCGGAAGTTGTTTTTAAAAAAAAATCATCGAAATTATTGAATCGTTCAAGAACTAAGTTACTTGAAATTAATGAATTGTTTAAGAAATATTTTGCTTGTAAAATAGTCTGGAATAATAAAAATTAATAAACATTATAATAAAAATTAATAAAAATTATAAATAAAAATTATTAATAAATAATTATTAATATAATTATTAATATAAATTATTAAAAT